AGTTAGAAGATGAGCCGCGAGGACCGCCGTCTGACGCGAATTACGATGAGGACGATGGTCATCTATGGGATCTGCCCAAATTATGGGAGTCCGGTATAGAACAGGTGCGAAAGGAGACGCTTATCGGTGAACGAAATAACCTTCTCAAGCGGACGGGGCTAGACGCAATGCAACAGAGCTTATCATTTGGGGAGCGACTTGATGAAGCAGACAGCATGGAAATAATGGAGCGTGATAGGTCCTCTGGTGAGTGGAACTAGCTATGACAATCGCAGACGAAGCTAACGTATATGGCAGAGTTTAAGGAATCAATTCATGAAGGAGATCTTGAACCAGGAAGTGTTGAGAAGTATTACCAGGTTCAAGAGAAGATTGATGAGATCCTTCGGCATAGCCATTCTGGGTCAACAGACTGGGTCTGGTTTGTCGTCGAGATAATGGATTGGCTTCAATTGCGTGCCAACTACGAAGACTATACTCACGACCCCTTCTCGCCATGGCCACACAGTTTTATTATCCACGATCTAGTCCGGGCGTTTGCAACCATGGCCATGTTCTTTCCCGGGTTAGCAGCGACCGAGCTTGTAACCAAGTTCCTTGAGTCAACTGAGTGTAAAGAACTCTGGAAATCGGATCTTTTTAGCCCGAAGCAGCGAGCAGTAAACCTGCCTGATCGAAGAACTCGAACGAGTTACAAATATCGCAAACCAGAGTTCTGGGCAAAGTGGAAGGAAGTCTTGGACTCACGGAGCTATTTCACCGATGTATACCCCTTTGACTGGAGCCTTGCGCTCCGCCCCATCATTGCACATTGTCAGTCAAATCCCGCCAGCCCATCCACCAGCGTCGCAAGGTTTGCTAACAGATTGACAGTATATCGAGCGGGCGTGGTCGCGCCCGCATACTATCAAAGTGATCCGCAAATCGTCCCTGGCACGGCCACGGCCAACACGGAGCCTCACCGGCCCGACAAGCTAGATCTCTTCATCAACTATGAAGACCCATACAACAACTGCCCCCCGACGTACCCCCCGTCCTATATTCACCCACACCAATGGCCTGCCCTCCTGCCGCTTGCCCAGAAATTCGCCAAGGACCACCAAAGCGCGCGTTTTGCGCTTCTTCGGCTGTGGTCAGCGCCGCACTTCTACCCTCTGATGGTTGGGCCGCAAAGCCGGCATGGAACCAGCTTCCTCGACAGCGCCGGCCGAACGTGGCAGTGGAAATTCGTGCCCAAGGATATGCCGGGGAGCGAGTTCAGCGCACACCTCACCACTTCGAGGCGAATAGAACTACTGCAAAAACAGTTTGGAAAACGTGTCGTTAGTCGTGGAGACTTGATTTTTGTCATGGCAGAAGATGCTGAGGAGCTGCTGAAGATGTGCACGGCCGTCACGTTTGCCATTCAGACGAAGCCGTGGCTGAGAGAAGTGGATCTTTGGAAAAGCTTTATTGATGTAGATATGGACTTTTTGGAGAGCTTGGACGATTTTTGGCTAGATTGATAGGATAAAGAGTTACCATGTTGGAAATTCAAGTTGATACATGATTGGTTGTCTTAGGTGTTTCCCATGGGCAGATAAATAGAAGACGACCAGGACGGGGAACAGCCCCTGCATGTGCTTGTGGTGTCTGTTGAATTTGATGGCCGTTCCTCTAGTCATGTCTTTGTCTTCCGTAGAAGACTCTTCAGAAGGTGATGGGCTTGATGCTTGTGAATATATCCTGCGAAATTGTTTGTAGGTTTTGTCATTTTGAAAAGTGAGAAATGCAAACAGAGCACATGCCGGAACGCACCTGGGCTGCATTCCATGTCCTACCCACAGCCTAGCTCTTCGCAATGTTTGAAAGCCAGAGTTGGCATTGTACATGGGGCAGCGGTTTACCGCTCAACTAAACATATACCTCGTAGAGCTAGCAAGTCTTCAACAGGTGAAATACAGGGCATCTACAACCGAGAGGTATACAAGGTTAACTAAGACAGGTACTTGTGGAATTCCCTTTTGCTTGGTGTGGTTTAACCTTGACATGCTCCAACACTCCAACCTCGAGCGGTCTATTAGGCGCGGTCGTAAAGTCTTGCCAGAGATAAGATGATTCGCCGCGGCGTCTCGCAGAGTATAATTAACGCCTAGTTGTAAACAAAAGTGCATATAAGGCATTGCTCATAACCAATAGAATATCACGATGTGTCCTTCTGTTTAACAATGACCAATCAACAGCCACAGCCCAACGTAAAACCGCCTCGTCGCAAAATGGCCAGGCCACGATATAAATTGTCTTGATTTGGATTGCCTTGTAAGATAACTGAGCTCGTCATTTTGCATTAATGATTTTATGAGTTATCTGCGTTGCGTCCGTATTGTCCGAGGCTTTGATTTTGGAACCTTGCTGCGTCTGACCAAGTGTTACACGGAAAGGGCCCGACAGATTGTGAAGCCTAATAAAGGGGGCTTTACTAATAAAGGACCTATTAGTTATATAAATTAAACACGTGTTTAAGTAAGGGCCTTAAGTATATATATACTCTTTTTATATATATAATAGTTATTATTTCTTTTTTTCTCTTAAAAAATTAAGGACTTTAAACACTCTTTAATATTATCTTTAGATTTAAACCTCTACTCCCTGAGCCTCGTCAGACCCCGCTCACCGCATGGATTGCTTGAGCTCGAGACGCTTGGCTTGCGGCTCCTTTTTTTTTTTTTTTTTTTTCAAACGAGCCCTTTGCATAAAGGGGGCTATGCATAAAGGGCGAGTGTGTTACCTCTGCACGGCCCTCGGTTCTCTCTTCGCGGGAGGTTTTGCGATTGGATTTTTGACGAGGGTTCCCAAGGCATTCTAGGAACGACATGCTACCCGACAGGGCAACAACAAACACAGTTCGTTAATGGATCAATGTATTCCGTGTCTACGAGGGTTTAGAGGTGCTCGGTGCAATGAGAAAAAAGGATATGACGAGCGAACATACCGCTGCATGAGTGCCCCATAGTATCTGTGGCCCGATTCTTATTGCCAGTCACAGCCCAAATGAGCAGAAGAGTAATAGAAAGAAGGGGATTTAGAGAGAGATACATGATGGAAGCTCGCTTTGGATGACAGTCCTATAGTCGACAACCACATCCAGAACTGAGGCAGAGGAGAGGTAGAAGACTGTATTGGCTTCACAGAAAAAAAGGAGCAGAGCTGTCCTGACCTAGTTCGTACTTCCCTGCTCTTGGAGAAAGAATCACAGTGATTTATGCTTTTACCAGGCATTTCTCTATCCGTTTAGACACATTATCTGATGGAGAAGCTGGTAGCCTTGTCGTAGTGTTTCTTGGCTCAAATACCGTCTTTTCACAGTGGGTTGGTGGGTGGTGTCTTCTTGTAATTCGAGCCCGCATTCTTCTTGATTACAACCCCGCTCACGCCACGCATTCTGCGGGGAAAAGCGCCTCTTTTGGGCACTGTAATTGGGCGTGTAGCGAGATGAAGCTTTGGGAGGACTGATGTCGAGATCTCTGACATGCGTCAGGGCCTGAAACATGCATCAGAATATATGTATGAATGCTGGAATCCGGTATTAGGGTCTTTAACATTGCCTGCGATGGTATATACAGCTATCAGAAACTGATCCGGTTGGCTGAAGCATTAGAGCTTTCTGAAACTAGACACAATGTTGGATGACAGGTCTGAATAAACGGCATACCACGGAAACCGATGCTTCAAAGCCAACGGCAACCGGATATGGAACGATTTTCAGGATAGATCTGGAAGAACACTACCTTGTGATGGTGAAGCTAAAAATGGAGGTGATATAGGAGCTCATGGCAACTCGATATGCAGCACTAATCACCCTTCTCATTCTTGGGATGGGAAAGATCGTTTGTGTCCTCATGTGCTCGCGGCCTGGATATCAACTTTATCAACTTGAAAGAGTGTAGAATAAAAAAAGGAAATTGTACAGAAGTATACCTACAAGTATAGTAGCGTTGCTGCTTGCAAGAAAGCTTGTTTGTTTTGTTAACACTACATGGAATTTATGCTATTTACTAGTATAATCTTCTCTATGCTTCCTCATGTATGTATTACGTGGTCTGTTGCGGTTCTCTGGCTTGGGTACGGCCAGGCACATTGTGTTTTTCACTTGCGCCTGCTTGATGTGGTGATTGCAGTCGACGTCTATTTGGATAGGTTAAAAAAGTGTGATAGTAAATACTTCCACTTGTAGGAAAACCATGCCAGGTTGGTATCCTTGGTGTCACACGGTTACACGAGGGCTATGGTCACGAGACCTAGGGCAAAGTCCCTCACCGACTTGTATTTAAAGACCCCTTTGGTCAACGAGGCCTTGAGGAAAACCAAGGACCTTTGATACCAAAGACTGTTATTAGATGAATTGAGTCATTGCTCCAAGCCTAAGCCCTTGTCACACTTGGTTGAGTGAAAACCCTACGCCCGCATCCCCTGCCACCAAGCTGCTTCCTCCCCTGAATGCTGGTTCAAATGCTGTTTTGCAATCTCGGCTGCAAAACGCGCCGTTTGCCCAGTTTCAACCACTGACCCTAGAGCTTGAGCTAGAGTTGGCCGATTTTTCTGGTAGGTTTTGTACGCAGGTCCATTATGTATATATCACTTAACGTATCTGGGTCTTTGGCGGGTTAAATGGTTGGCCTTGTATTCGCAAGAATCTAACATATAGGCAGCGTGACAATATAATACAGCTGGCGGTTACTCCAACCTACCACCACCAAAACACCATTGCCTTCACAATCCAGAGTCTCTTATTTTATCCAAATATCGACATCTGTCCAAACTACCGTGCTCTGTACGGCTGCTACTAGCAGTCTGGTTGGTGCTCTATCACATTCTCCGCGTCAACATCCAACTGTCTAGGCAAACAAAAATATAATGTTTGGTATACACCAGACTCATTGTAGTAGAATGATGCGTAGCTATGTATCGGCGCCTCGCGCTTCCGGTTAAGATCCCCACTAGAATGTATCCGGTTAATGCGTCTATTTGCGAGAAGTCTGCCGCGGTAAAAGGGGAGGGAATGCAACGTACAAGGCAGTTTCAAACATGTCTCTATATCTTCCGCTAGAAGCCCACTCTTGGTTGCATTGTTTCAACATGATTTCGAAATTCTCCACCGTATCCGCATCGCTTTTCATGTAGGCAAAGACTGGCACGTACAACTTCACTTCAGGGAGGTCTTTACCAGGGGTAATTTCCAAGGAAAAGAATAGCTTCATGGCTTGTTGTACCGCGTCATTTACCGGCTTTTCATAATCGTCAGCGACTTGGTCCTTCTCCTGCATCATCAGGTGCCAAATCGTCCTCAGGGTTTCCAAGCCTTTCATGGTTGGTTCGTCCCGACGTCGACCGCCTAGGGTTAAACATTGCCGCACGGTATTAAACGAATTAGTAGTGGTATGAATGTACATTTTAACCCGGGCGCGATATAAATCCTCTTCATCAACGAGCTCAATTGACAACATGTCAATAGAAGGGGATACCACACCCTCGAGGAGGAATCTGCTCCCAGTCAGCAAGAAACCTAATCAAGGAAAAAGTAGAGGCAGTAGCGCAAGGTGGGCCAGACTTACTCGGAGATGGCTTCGACAGCTTTGGAGTTTATTGGGGGTTCCAGATTACGCAAAAGGTTCCAAATAGTCTCATTTGTCGAGCTGCCAGAGCCAATCTCCTTGACTTTTGGACTCACGTACAACTTGGGAAGAGCCCGGGGCCCATCCAAGTCGAAAGCAAACGCAGCAAAGGGCAGCCTTGATACGGGTTTTGTTTCCAGTCCCGGCGGCAGGAGGCTTGCTATCCACTTTTGCAGGTTTTCCTGCGATCTCTTTGCTTCTTCGGCAGTGGGAGTGAAAGTCTCTAGTAGCCTGTCACTCCAACGCCTGCTAAACCCTAGTTCTGCACAAAGGGATGTCAAGCATTTTTGCACCGTCTCCACCGCATATATATCGTCGTCGTTGGACCAGGTCGAGCCCAGGACCTCGGCGCAATATCTCACCGTCGGCTTTCCAGAGCAAAGATTGAGGCTGAGCTCGATCGGCGAACCGCTGTTTGTAAGCGAGCTTTTAATAGGATGTAGCGCTGTTGGTCGAGGTCCAATATTGGGGAGGACATGTTCGCAGAGCATTCGAATGTGTTCGCCTTGGTCCGCAGCTGAATAGCCAGCTGCCCTGAGGAAGGCAATCAAGGGTGAGATGCTATGGCGCATCCAAAAGCCCAGGTCTAGGCTGGTGACCGGGCGAGTCTGATCAGCCATTGCAGCGTATGGCATATAAAATCGACGAATAGAATCGAGGTCGTGTGCCGGGGTTGTATAGGTGGTCAGGCTTGTGATACTCCTTCCTATAAGTGTATGAGGACCTGTTGGGGTATAAAAAGACAAACACCCGAGGCTGTGTACCGTTGCATCGCGCATGCGGTTTTATAAAAAGATTTTCTCATTAGTCTAACTTGATATATCCTGACGTCGGGCGTAAGAGGAACGTCATGCATATTCATTTCTGCAGGAGAAGTCGATTATGGCAACCAACCCGGCGGGCTACATACATGTGATTATGGGTCTGTACGACATATAGCCCCAATTTACACATACGTATACGGAGTATTCGCTACTCAAATTAAAGCCGTACGGGGCTACAAATATGCACGTAGGTGCTTCGTGGCTATCGCTACTCGATGCTTGGTGTTGGTGCCACACACAGAGAGAGAGAGTCATGAGGGCACACTGACAAGATGAATATCGGCCATGTTTGGACAAGAGCCGCTATCAATGGATCCTCTTTCTCCATAGATGAACAGTCAAACCCGATAGCCGCCGTGACTCTCGGCCCGAATTACACCTCCGTCCGTCCGCTCTTCCCACGCTTAACCTCCCGCCTCCGCTGCTCTACCCGCCCTGCAGGAATAAAAGCTCCAAATATAGGCTTACATGAGCTTAAATATCCCGCAGCTATTGACCCTTTGTGTAGTCCTCCTTCCCGGGGTTCCGCTCTACCCCAGCGTTCGCCTACGTCTCTTTGACAGTGTGTTTTAAAATTCCAACCATCTGTTTTCGCTTCATAAGCTTGAGCACCCTCGCGGCCTCTCTCATGCAAGGCCGCGACCAAAAACCCGTTTGAACCATAAGTTAGCTTGAGCCCACCACGACCCGCGCCTATGTAGCAGCCAAGAAGCGGCGCGGCTTATCATGCAGCTCTCCTTTCCAGGGTGCCGATATGGAGTCGTGCCGTGCCGCTCGACGCCATGACGCCGTGTCACTCTTCGTGTCACATTGCGGCTGTCGATGGTATGTCTCGGTTTGCGACCCTGTGTATTTGCGCAAATGCCGCACGTGCTGGCTGCCCTCTGTTCCTGTGAGACGTGGAAGAACATGCCAAACAAAGAACTGCGCCACTCGGGTATTTTTGTATCCCTAATCTGGTTATTCAGGGCTTCTAGTTGCCGTTCCATATTGAGGCGTCCTGTGATGTCTTCTATTGGTCGCATCTGCATAAACTTGGCGTTTGTCTGTCTGGAGTCTCGACAGATTTGTTTAGGATAAGTGGGACAAGATGATAGACTCTTGAATTTCTGTAGGTAAAACAGTGCATATTCGTCTTTGTACATAATGAGGGATTTACTGCCTGAGCCTCCTGATCTTGATACAACGTTGGCCATGCTATCTGTAGCCAGCTCGAAAGTAGGCGCTCCTGTGAGTTGCATTCTGCCTTTTTAATATCCCCGTCATATCCATTATATAAGTACACTAACGCATCGCAATTTAGTCGTAGCCTAGCCGATTCCCAAGTGAGCAGCCTGATAGTTTCTTCTTATCGCCGCATTATACAACAAGAAGCCTGTGAACACACACGTACAGCCCATCCATTGGTCTGCCGGCAAATACAAGAGGGTAACTTGTAACCCATCACCCTGTGACTGCGGAAGATCTAACAGTATCAAAGCTGTTAAAACTTGAGGCTTTCAAACCCCGCTGCATGGAGGGCATCGGCATTAGCCTCCTTGCCAGAAAACCCCATTGCATTATTTCGAATGAGCGAAGCATGCTTTTCGCTCCGAGGGGTAATTTTGTAGGGAAACAAGGCCGGGTGATCAATCAATCCAAATCCGCTAGCCACCACCGGCTCTATTTCCTTGCCCTCGTCATCGAGAGCCTTGCTTACGTTAAATACGGCCAGTATTTGGGCAACGGTTAGAAATATAGCGGCATCCGCTAGGTATCTCCCCGGACAAACTCTTCGTCCAAACCCAAATGCCACCTTTGCGGGATCCGGCTCATCCCGCGGTGGCAGGTACCTCGCAGGGTCGAATGTCTCCGGATTCGCGTATACTTGGGGATCGTGGAGGAGCCACCACACGGCGGGCAATATAATAGCGCCCTTGGGGACAAGGTATCCTTTCAACATGATGTCTTTGCTGGCGGCATGCGCCACGCCCATTGGTGTTACGGGAAACCACCGCAGCGCTTCCTTGACGACGCTGTTGACATACGGAAGTTTGCTGCGGTCCTCAAACTGCGGGAGACGATCCGACCCCGTCAAGCCATCAATCTCGAGCTGCGCTTGTCGCTGGACGTTGGGGAATTTGACAAGGGCGAGAATCACGCTGAAGAGAGAAGAAACGGTCGTGTCCGAACCCCCGGCGTACAAGATTCCCGCTGACCACTTGATCGTCTCGGCGGCCACGGGGTCGAGCCGCAGGTCCTCATCTTGCAGTTCTTGAATGAGCCTAGAGACGTAGCACGGTGTGTGAGCCTGCTGCGCCATCTGCTGCCTTACAAAATTGTACGGAACATCCGTCACCATCTTATTGATATCCGTCGACTTCTTGGCAACTCGTTGGAACGAAGCGCCAGGGAACCACTCGGGGACGTGTCTGAGAGCAGGCAAGAGATCGACTGCATAGCTCATGGGCACGAGGGCCTCGGAACCCCTCCTCATCATTTCTTCAATCAGTTTCACCAGGGGGTCGATTTTTTTGTGCTGAACCGTGTAGCCGTATGTGATCTTGAGTATGATGGCTCCGGCTTTCCTGTTTGCTTCATCTTCAGTCACTCCAGACGAGAAATGCGCGCAACTCGGACCATGGTAGTTGAACTCACGTTTTCAAGCTTTGCCAAAGATTTTGCGGATCCTCCAGAAGCCGCAGGAGCAATCGCCCAACTTCTTCCTCTTGCACGGCATGATACTTGTCCACTAGTGCCTTGGTCCCGAGTTGCTGGTGTACGACTTTGCGCTGCCTTCGGAAGCTGTCGTCGTAGGGCCGGAGGCTGAGGTACTTGCCGAAACCAGACAAGTTGTGCGCAAACTCGAATCGCGGCCGTTCTGATGTCATGAGCGACTTCTTTTCCATCAATTCCTGAATGGCCTCTAGGTCATGGATGATTACCATGGTCTGTCCGAGCACGGTGACGGAGCTGATGGGGCCGTAGGTGTCCTTTTGCTTCAGCCAATGCTGATACTCGGGCACACCCTGCGGAGGTAGGTCCGTAATATTCCCAAGGAGCGGCCATGGCTTGGGGCCGGGCGGGAGCTGGGATTTTCTTTGCCTGTGGACGTATAATCTGTACACCAAGTAGACACAGGCAAGAAGGGCAGTGGCCGTGATGGAGGAATGCATTGTTGCTGCAACGGCTGTGAACTCAGATTACGACATGTCATAGTCCGGCCTAGAGTGCGAGAAATGAGGGATTCTACACGTATTTAAGCCCAACTGTACAACTTGCTACATCGGTGCAGATGGACGAAACAGGCGGGAAGAAAAGGATCGAGGTGGGGGAGGTTGTAGTCACATTATCACATACGAGCTGGCTATAAAACGCCACGCGATGACGTGGCGGAATGACTGGATACGGAGAGCTGCTTCTGCAGAAATTAATTGTGAGCAGAAACTGCTAGGGGCCAAATTCATCCGGATCTCCTTGCCCCTGATGGTAGGCATGAAGGCATCAGGACACGGGATGTGCTCTATGGGATGTTGTATACGACTATACCTGAGACAGTTCAGTGCTTTTATAACCCGGAACCTATCCATTCTGTTTAGAAGAGATATTTGGAAACAATCGAGATCCAGCCTTTACTCTGTGTGCCGGCGGGTCTCGCAAGCGTGGCTGGTCCTACACCTGCTCCAAAGAAGCTGGTTGGAGCAAACTCCAAGAGTCTACGGGCATTTAAGAGTTCCCAGAGGCTTCCCAAAATGAGTCAAGGCTGTCCAAAGGCCGAGGACTTCTAAGAGAGAATGATGTAGGTAAAGGGCTCCGGGGATGTTCCCATGTACATCGTCTTTGCCCAAGGCGGAGAGAAACCCGCCACCGGCCAAGGGTTTGCGATTGATCAGAAAGACGGCCAAGGGTCTTCGATTGATCAAAAAGACAGCCATCAAGCACATGCGTCTGAAGTCGGTTGATGGTTCCTCCAAAATTTTGATAATGCGGATGACATTGAAATTGGCGACATCGACTCTGGAATTATCCAATCACCAACTGCCTGTTGCCACAACCGTTAACCGTTTCTTTTTAGTTTAGCCTCCAAAGTCTTTCTCTGGAATTAGCACTGCAACTACAACCGTGGCTGTGTCGCCAAGAATATCAAAACTGACAAACTTGCATATTTGAATTCGCATACCGGGGTCTCTTCCAATCAACCGCCGAGTGATGAACCCGCAGCGTGACCTACCCATGTCTGCTTGATGTCATTATTGGCGGTTCGCAGGTAACATGACGGAAACAAGACACCATGACCAATAGTCATCACCCTAGAGTAGGAATTGCGTAAATGCAGGGCTTCGCGTATTCGAAAGCGGGGTTGAGAGGAGAGACGCGGAAAGGAGTGTGTCATAAGACTCATAACCAGGTTGATTACACCATCCTGACAGCCCATGCAAGTGACTCCGTTCATGGCACCGCCCTGCCGGTGAGCGTAATCATGTCACCATCCTGCTCACCACGACGCAGGTTGGATTCGCTACCAGACTTGTCGACGGACAATGCCAGCCTTCCAGGGAACGGTCTGCAGCCTTGCTCCGTTCTCCATCTTGTCCTACTTGTTTTCGTATATAAAAAGGATAAAAGCTGCTTCTCGCACTGGACCAAAGACTGTGTGATAGCAAGAGCTGGGCGTTTTCATTCACATAGATGTCTACATTTCTTCCCAAGCGCATCCTTGGCATTTCAGGTGATTCCAACTAGAGAGGTTGTGTAACCCGAGTCCAGAGCATGTATAGCGCACCACCTATCTTGTAAGAAAACGAGTAATATCATCG